GAAGAATGGGTAGGAGGCTGATCTTTCTCCATACCCTTAGCTTGCTGAGGCGAGTCGTCTGAGGAGGGACGGAGCGACTTCTCGTATAAGAGAGTCGTGAGTTTAACTTGTTTGGGGGGGGTCTAAGAACTTGGATAGTGAGGAAAGAGGGGGGTAAAAACGATAATTTTAACTGTTTTTCTCTGACAGAATTGGCAGAGAGAGAGCTCCGTCTGCTGCCGAGGACACTTTTTTTTTTTTTTTGGTTTAACTGGTTAGGGGGGGTCTAAGAACTTGGATAGTGAGGAAAGAGGGGGGTAAAAACGATAATTTTAACTGTTTTTCTCTGACAGAATTGGCAGAGAGAGAGCTCCGTCTGCTGCCGAGGACGGTAGAGAAGGAACTGAGGAGCCGCGCGTGCGCAGGCGCCCTTCAGTTCGAACAATACTAGAGGGCGCCACGGCGCCTGCGCGCCGCGGCAGAAACAGCTAGAAAAGTCTCCGGTCGCCGGCGCGAGGACGCACCAGCACCCAGAGTGGAGCACCCACGGGGACCACTCGAAGGAGAACACAGCATGCACATGAAATCTCTGGAAGTAGAAGTATGCAACTTCTACTGCTGTTAAAATTATTAGGACACAGGCAATTTAAGCTGACCTGGCTCTGGCACCCAGTTCCAGAAGAGGGTTTGTGGCTGTGGTGTCTCTCTATAGCCTGTCAGCCTGGCTCACTAAGTCAGCCCTTTGTGACTAACCCTTTCTACTTCACTCCTGGCTGGCTCAGATGGCTCCCTGCTCAGCTTATTGGCTTCTGAGGATCCTTTCTTTATACTCTTAACTATCCCCATTAACAAGCCTGCCAATAGAGAGGAGGGGCAAGCAAGAAAGAGGGGGCAACTTCCCCAAGTCTGGACAATATCAAAAGGCTACTGCGGCTGGAGCCCCAGATCCTTTAATTTGGTGTCAGATCACTATACCAGACAGCATTAAGCACTGCTTGGGGGAGGCCCGGTGCTGTCCTTTCCTTCCTCCCACCTCCCCAGGGACATGCAGCAGACTTCATCCCTCTCATCCCATCTGTTTGCCCTGCTGTCCATGAATTAAGGATCTTCACTGCCTAGCTATGGGCTGATGATTGCATTAGCTGGCAGGCCACCTAGAGAAAAAGATATCGCACTGCTGAAGAGAGTAGCAGTTTGATACCTTGATGATCTGGCCACTGTATCATTGGTGAAGGAGATAAATTGAACAATCCTATGCTGTACTTAGTGGCTGCCTTGTGTCTGTTATTACTTGTTATTTATCATAATGCAGTTATTCCTGCATAAATATTTTCCCCACTCTCCTGATCATGCCATCTTCTGTAGTATCCCAGGTACTTCAGGAGCCAGCTCCTTTCTGTGCTTCTACCTTTTCCTTCAGTTTGTTCACAAACATTCTATGAAACACTTGAAAAATAACCATGGTCATATTTAAGCTTGTACTGCAATGCCTAATAGCACTCAGTGTATTAAAGACAATGTTTTTATACAGATATAATCCATTCATTGCAGTAGAGCTCTTCTCCAGAACCTAAATTTGTATTTTTAAAAGGGTCTTCTTCTAGTACCTCTGAAGGTAGCCTTGAAAACAAAAACAAAAAAAATCCACCCCAAACACAGCCACCTGACTTTAGAGGTAACCGGAAATAATAGCTTTGAATACAGGTAGATGAAACTTCTAAAACTGCCATTTTTCCCCCGTCAGTTTTGTCCAAAATCTGAAATAAAAAACAGAAGTAGTCCCAGGGAACTTTTTAATTAAAAATACTCTTCAACCAGCAGAACTGGTTAAAAATTTAAATGAGACCATCTATGAAATGGGTTTTTTGAAAAGTAGACTTAAAAAAACTCTGTAAAGTAGATACTGGATTTTAAGCAACTTGAGCTATGAACTAAAGCATCTCACTCTCTCCACATGCAATTTAGAAGTGTTAACAAGTATTTTATGACTGACCACTTTATCAGTCAATGTATGTCACAAAATCCCAAGGATGTGAGAAAACCAGAATGTTCCTTGTTTTCAAAACCTCCTAGAAAACCCCAGAAGGGAAGAACATGGAATCATAAGAAGTTCTACTCACCCTCCGTGTAGCCATAGCTGGGGAGTAGCTCTATCAGTCTGAGGCCCCTCCTTGCAGGTGCTCACTGTCTCCTTCTTGGGGCTCAACTGCTGTTCTCCTGCCTCTGCTCTCCAGCAAGGGGCCAGAATGTTCCTTGTTTTCAAAACCTCCTAGAAAACCCCAGAAGGGAAGAACATGGAATCATAAGAAGTTCTACTCACCCTCCGTGTAGCCATAGCTGGGGAGTAGCTCTATCAGTCTGAGGCCCCTCCTTGCAGGTGCTCACTGTCTCCTTCTTGGGGCTCAACTGCTGTTCTCCTGCCTCTGCTCTCCAGCAAGGGG